CATAATAATAATATAATAATAATAATAATGATTGCATTTAATTTAGCATCTTATATGTTGTCCAACCATCTCAAAGCACTTCATAGTATATATTGGAAAGTGAATTGAACGTGTGTTTTGTGTGCGAAATCCCACTTAACATATCTAAAGTTGCGGATGATACGAAGATAGGTGGGAATGTAAGCTGTGAGGATGACACATGAAGAATGCAAAGAGAAATAGACAGGCTAGGTGAGTGGGCAAGAAGGTGGCAGATGGAGTATAATGTGGGGTAGTGTGAAGTTATTCACCTCGGTAGTAAAAATAGAAAAGTGGATTATTTTTTAGAGGGGAGAGAGACTAGATGGGGTTAGTGTTCAGAGGGATTTGGGTGTTCTTGTACACCAGTCACAAAAAGTTAGTATGCAGGTACAGCAAGCAACTAGGAAAGCTAATGCTATGTTGGCATTTGTTGCAAAAGGGTTAGAGTACAAGAGTAGGGAAGTCTTGCTGCAGTTGTATAAGGCCTTGGTGAGACCACACCTAGAATATTGTGTGCAGTTTTGGTCTCCTTATTTAAGAACAATAACAACAACAACAACTTGGATTTATATAGCGCCCTTCACGCAGGACTGCATCTCAGAGTGCTTCACAGTAACGGATCCCGGGGACGAGCCAGGAGGAGGGGGAGGAAGGTGACCAAAGGTGCAGTCAAAAAGAAAGGTCTTCAGCAGAGACTTGAAAATAGGAAGAGAGGGGACATGGCGAAGGGAGTGAGGAAGGGAGTTCCAGAGCTTCAGGGCATAGTGGCTGAAGGCACGGCCACTGAGAGTGGAGCGGAGGACTTGGGATACAAGGAGGAGGCCAGACCCTGAGGAACGAAGGCAACGGGCACTGTTTTGAGGAGAGAGGAGATCAGAGAGATAGGGTGGTGCAGAGGAGTGGAGGGATTTGAATATAAGGGTGAGGATCTTGAAGTCGATCCTCTCTGGGACAGGCAGCCAGTGCAGTCTGGCAAAGACTGGGGTAATTAGGGAACGGAGTTTGGTGCAGGTGAAAATCCGGGCGGCAGAGTTTTGAATAATCTGGATTTTATGGATGGTAGTGGATGGGAGACCGGTGAGGAGGGCATTAGAATAGTCCAGCCGAGAGATGACAAAGGCATGGACTAGGGTTTCAGCAGCTTTCGGAGAGAGGTATTGGCGGAGATGGGCGATCCGTCGGAGGTGGAAGAAAGCGGAGCTGTTGAGGGACCGGATGTGGGGGAGGAAGGATAATTGGGGGTCGAACCTGACGCCTAGGTTGCGTATGGGTTCAAAGAGTTTTATGGGGAGGTTGGGTAGGTGGAGGAGGTGAGAACCATGCGATTTTAGACATTGACGAGAGCCAAAGAGTATGGCTTCCGTCTTGTCAACGTTCAGCTGAAGGAAATTTGCGCTCATCCAGCGCCTGAGATCTGACAGGCAGGCTGACAGAACATCAGGGGACTGGGGGTCGCAAGGAGAGGTGGAAAAATAGAGTTGGGTATCATCTGCATACATGTGGAAATGTACCCCATGTCTGTGGATGACATCCCCAAGAGGGAGCATGTAGATCAGAAAGAGGAGGGGGCCAAGGATGGATCCTTGGGGTACCCCACAGGTAACCAGGTGAGAGCGGGAGTAGAAGTTGTTTGTGCAGATGTACTGCTGGCGGTTTGTGAGGTAAGTCTTGAACCAGGCGAGTGAGGCCCCACTGAGGTGGATGACGGAGGAAAGGCGGTACAGGAGGATGGTGTGATCGACTGTGTCAAACACGGCGGAAAGGACACAGAGGCCGAGGGAGCCCTGGTCATAGATAGAGAGGATATAACTGCGCAGTCTCTGTACTGTGGTCAAGAAAGAACATACTAGCCTTAGCGGGGGTGCAACGTAGATTCATTAAGTTGGTTCCTGGGATGAGGGGCTTGACCTATGAGGATAGGTTGATAAACTAGGCCTATATTCTCAAGCATTTAGAAGAATTAGGGGTGATCTTATAGAAACCTATAAGATTCTTAAGGTTCTTGACAGGGTAGATGCCGTGAGACTATTTCCCCTGGTTGGAGAATCTAAAAGATTAAGGGTCAGCCTTTTCGAACTGAGTTGAAACATTTCTTCACTCAGAAGTTAGTGAATTTGTGGAATTTCCTACCCTAGAAGGTTGTGGATGCTCAGTCCTTGAACATATTCAAGACTGAAATTGATAAATTTCTAAAGGATAGAGTGATTAAGGAATATGGGGATAAGGCGGGTAAATGGAATTAGGTTAGAAGATCAGCCATGATCTTATTAAACGGCTGGGCAGTCTCGAAGGCCCGAATGACCTAGTCCTGCTCCTATGTCTTATGGTCTTATGGAAATGTGACAGCCAGTTGCTCACAGCAGTGTCCCACATACATTCATGGATTAAGTGACCACTTTTTTTTGAGGGATTATTATCCCTGGAAAGCGATCTACCAATCATCTAACAACCGGGTTCCTACTTTCTGCTGGGTAAACAGAGGAGTGTGGAATAAGGAAACTTGCCTAAGGTTTCGTTTTTCTCCACTTTCAAAATCTGCTTAAAACGTATCTCTTTGACTGTACTTTTGGCCAGCTTTTTGCCTCCCCATAAGCTCCGCTTGCCCCCTCCCCACTCATCCTAGTTTAGGCTCCCAGCCAGTGTGCAAAATGATTTGAGATGTCCTCCTGACGTAAAAGACGCTATGGAAATGGAAATTGTTTGTTGTTGTTTAAACTCCGCATCAATGTACGATATGGTTTTTCTGTCACAATACAGTGCACGATTGTTTCACTTTGTTGACAATCATGAGCAGTCTCCACTGTACTACAACTTCAGAACAAAATAAGTGATGAGTGATTCAGTTCCCTGTGGCACCCAGATGTCGTTCTGCGAAGGCTGTTTAGAGCAGGCTTTCACAAGACTTCAGCTGCTGAAGGCGTAAATCTGGAAGCTACTCGGAAAAGATCCCAGCTGAAGTTCCATCAATGATAAATATTTCAACTATTTTGATTGTCTCTCTCCCCTCCACCCACCGCCACAAAACTCTGATCCTGGAAGATCTTTCTCTGAGACAACTAACTTTCATAAGGATCGCAAGACTTTGGTAGGCATTCCACTGGCATTAATAAGATATGCAATCTTACTATCCTGTAGCTCAGTGGTTAGAGCACTCGCCTCACAAGTGAGAGACCTGGGTTCGCTTCCCTTGGGCAAGTTTCCTTACTCCACACACCTGATAATAAACCCTCAAGAAAAAAACAATAATCTGGTCACTCAATCCATGACTGCTGTGCACAATTGGCTGCTGCATTTCATCCACAAATCAATTCAAAGTTAATTGACTTTACAGTATATTCCATGAAGCGCTTCAAGACATTTTGAAGACGTGAAAAGTGGTATACCAAATGCAAGGATTATTATTATTATTCCACCTGGCTTCACACAACCGACGGGCTATAAAGGAATTGTTGCTTTGTGTATAGTCTCTGTGAAATATGAGAATGATTCTATACCAAAATGTTTCAGCGCCTTGGGACGTCCTCCCAACGTGAAAGGCACTATACAAATGTAACCTTGTTGTTACCATATTTCATGTGATTTTTGTGTTGTTATAGATATTTTTGATGACAAAATAATAAGCACACCATTAATAGTCATATTAATAAATGGACACATCAGGTGAGTCAAAGATACTAGACATTAAATTGTAATTATTGATACTCCTTGATTAATTACTCCTTCTACTTAGGTTAATAAAATATGATATTTCTATTTTTGTGATTTTGTGTTTGTCAATCTGAAGTCCGGATGGTATTTTAAAATCAATTTTTGGTTCGCCTAATGTTTCATCACTCCGAGTCATTACACTGTGTGAAGGTGCTATACAAATGCTTCTTGTTGTTGTTAACTTTCTGGTGGGACTGCCATAGCAACAGGTTTATATCAATTTGAAACAATAAAGACTTAAAGAAAGAGTTGCAGGAAACCACAAGGTACATGGGTTTGGCCAAATGATTCATCAGTCTTCACAGCTGTTGTCTTAAATTGTCAGTATATTTTAATTGTATTTATTTGCAGTAAATTAAAAAAAATTGTGGACTCAGAAATTTGTGAGTCTTTGTGTGCTTCAGGATCCCAAAACAATCATGCTCACAGAAACAGGTGAAAGTGAACCTTACAGCCTTCTGTAGCACTATGCATGATACAGAACTATATAAATACTGAACCGGAGAACAGAATACTCTGTTGCAAGAGTATTCTTCAGAGTTTTCTTAGTAGTTTTCTTAGCAGTTTTCTTTCTTTACAGGTCTGTTCTTGCCAATACAAGGTGCAGCCCTGATTCTAACAGCTTCCTGGGATAGGGCAGACACCTCGCAGGTTACATAATAAGGGCACTTGGTTGTAGCAACCTTGATGACAAAATAATAAGGATGATGATATTTGTGAATCTTATTCTGTCTTTGTCTTAGCGGCCTTGATTAGAGTCACAGTGTTTGTGAATCTTAGCCTGTTTTTATTAGGATCTGCGCTGTTTCTCAATTCTACCAATATGTGGAGTCCCATAGCTCAGTGGTTAAAGCATTTGCCTCGCAAAGTGAGAGACCTGACTTCGATTTCCAGCAGGATGAAATGTTGGGCAAGTTTCCTTACTCTACGCACCTCTGTTTACCTAGCAGTAAGTCAGAACAGGTTGTTAGTCGATTGGCGGTTCGCTTTTCCGGGGGTAATAATTCTTTAAAAAATTAACAATAAGTTGGTCACTTGAATCCACGACTGTTGTGGGGCACTGCTGGGCGCAATTGGCTGCTGAGTTTTGTTCACAAAATATACAGTCAGTTCACTTTATAGTATATTTGTGAAGCGCTTTGAGACATCTTAAAAATATGATAAGGTGTTATATCAAATGTAAGGATATTATTATAACTATTATTTGTCCTTGTTCACTGTTCTTATGTCCACAGATACTGCAGACCATCCAGAATACATTGCAGTGAACCACAAATCATTGACCCGACTCTAAGAAGTGCTTTTGTCTTTGCCGTGACATACTCCAATATTCCACTACCACATAAACACTTACTTAACACAAGAAATGTTGTACCGCCAGACCTCAAAGGCAAATTGGAGCCACATCTGTTAGTGTGGAGAATTGGCAAGGCTGAAGTCCCTGTGAAGAAGCAGGTGAGGAAAGAAATCAGTCACCACAGCTTCAAAGGAGCGCTACAACCTTCCAGTCTTAGCCTTACTTTGGAAGTTATAGTGCTATTTGAAAACTGTGGGAAAAACAATGTCATATGGCTAAGGCCTTCAGAATTTGTAGCCTCTGATTAGCTATGCCCAGGTCCATGAACCAATATAGTTGGAAGAATTAAATATTCTGTGACTTCTCGATCAAAAACTAGGGCAATGTTGCAAGCTCCTCTCTGTGGCTATGTCTGATATATGAGTCATCTCTCCAAGGAGCTTTTCGAGGCAGGCTTAGCATATGATTTTCTCCAATCATTGGGACTACCACCAGAAGGGGAATTAAGGGGTTCAGAGCATTCAGCCAATGTGTCCCATTCTGATATCGAAAAAACAGGCTGATATAAATAATGAGGACATGTATCAAATGATTTCAAGATCAACAGACACATTTGGATGTAAATACCCTTTGGCCCACTTGATCTCATCCTTTCAGGATACCAATCTTACTGTCTTCCCATTACTGTTTTCAAGCTGTGTTCCTAAATGTATCCCTTATCCTGGTGCTATCCAGGTGAGAAATCAGCAAACTATGTCCAGGTTCATGGAGCAAAATAACACATTCCAATTATCATCAGGAGTTGCTGGTTCTTTTTACGATCACTCTGAAGGCAAATTACTGCACATTAAATCTCGTTGACTAAAGTCACATATACAGATTCACATATCTCTATGGTTAAAGTCCGATGAAATCCTTCCTCATCAATAGTCAAGGCAACACTATTTTTACATTATTACAGTATTGAACATAGATTGAGTTGTGTAGGTACCACTGCAAATGATTTTATTGACTGGGCCATGTTGTCCAGGTTGGAATTAAGATTACTAACTTTCCCAAATATTACCTTATGAATATATGAGGTGAAAATTTTGATGTTTCAAATCTGGTTTGAAATGTTGCCATCTTGCCCTTTTTATAAGCTTTACTTCAAAATTCAACATAGTTCTGTGTAGTTCTTGATTTCACATTTGCTTTGAGTGCAGCAAAAAGACCCTTTTAGCCTTTAATATGCATGAAAATATATTTGTCCATAAAGAATGGGAAAAGTAGATGCTTTCTTTCTCCATTGCAGAGGGAAACTAGAAACGTCTGTGAACCAGCTAAGTGAGAATTTACGGGAACAATATGAAAGGCAGACATGAAGAGCCAGGTATGAGGATATGAAAGTGATGGAACCCAGTAAATCATCAAACGTGACCAGAGTGAAGGAGTCCATCAGTGAAAGTCTGGGGAAAATGGCTTTCTCTCATTACTTGGAAAGAGTGGAAACTATGAGAAGTTTCTGGGAAGAGAAAACCAGGGAGCCAGATGGTAGCACTGAAGACGATGAGGTAACCGTTATTGCTGAATATAAACTCAGTCTGTCACCTGACGTTGGCAGATAAAGTCCCAGATCAAACACACTTAATTAAAGCAGTCTAGATGCAGTCTTTATGATTTTATTAAATTAAATATGACCTAAGACTCCTGTGATGTACTTCAGTGTCTGGCAAGTATCCATTGTGTTCATGTTTGAATTGTGCCACAATGTACTTCTAAAAGCTATGAATTAATTCACATGAGGAACTACAGTACTTACGACAAAACATGAGCTGGAGAGTGAGCTAGCCATAACTTGTCATAACTCACCAGTGTCAAGGTTCAAGGAGATGGTATTCCTTTAAGTCAAGCAGGTTACGAATTGTATCCCACAGGTCTTCATAATGTTTTCTGTTCATACAATGCATTAAAAATGAAATATGGAAAGAGTAAATGAGCTTTAGGTTAAACCACTTGCTGCTGGTGACAGATTTTGCAATAAATATCAGAAATGGGCCTTGTAATGATTTGCTTTGGGGAGTTCTAGGGAGAGTTGGAAGGTAAATTTATTGAATGACAAAGACTTAATAAAAGAGCATTCAGTAAAGCTTTTTCTTTTTAGCTTGAGAATAGAAAATAGCTGAAAGCACTGTGTATCCTTTGTTACTCCAATAATTTTATGTACAGATATTCACTTTGGCACTGCTGGTGTGTCTGTGTTGTGCATTTTGCAAAGACATGAATAGAAATTTACAATAGTTAAACGTCCTCCTGACATGAAAGACGGTTTACAAATGTAATTTTGTTGTTGTAGTTAACTGTCAAAAGGAAATTGGACAGGTACTTGAAAAGGAAAAATGTGCAGGGCTATGGGGTAAGAGCGGGAGAGTGGGACTAATTGGTAGCTCTTTCAAAGAGCTGATACAGGCCCGATGGGTTGAATGGCCTTCTGTGCTACAAGATTCTATGATTCCATGAAATATCTTCCAAAGGGAGCTAACATAGGGGTCACAATTGCAGTATTCCTCCATTGCTTAATTAAGGAGTGGTGTTAAAATGTGTTTTGAAATGTCTCTTGAATTTTGAACACTAGTTGTACTCAAAGCTGACTGAAAATGTTGCGAGCTTCCATCTTCGTTTCCTGTCTAGTGGCACTGTTGTTTTGGACCCTGGATTGAGACTTTCAGAAGCTGTTTTAAATTGAGTCACTCTCCTGTAAATTAAGGCTATGATATAGGATCCAAAACTTCAACTTAGAACTGCTAAAAGTACTCCAAGAACTGGCCTACAAAATATTTAGAGTCTGTGGAAGCTGCCATGTTTGTGGTTTGTGCAGTCACTTTTATGGACCACATCTGCCTGAGTCTTTGCTTTCGTTTAGGGTAGTTACATGGAACACCTGCATATCTCAACATTCAAGCCAGAATTTCATGAATCTGCGCAGCAGGGTCTAAAAACAGCAGTAGTAAAAGTAGAATAGCCTGCCAACATTTGCAGTCTAGGCTTAAAAATGTCCACTGTCAGGTACCCATGAACTACTATCATCCAGAAAATCAGACTCTAGCGCAACCCCCTTCATGAAAGGGTAGACCCTTTTTAGTAGGGACAGATGAAGAAATATCGCTGTAATGAATGGTCATAAGATCAAAGGAGTTCAGTTGAAAAAGGTAATTTAGTCCTGTTGATCTCATCCTTCCAGAATGCCCATCTCCCATTACAGCATTACAGTACTGGTCTAAACCACCCTTCTCTGGTCATCTGATCCAATCGTTAATTATCTTCTAGGTAAATAAATAATTCCTGATGTCTTTCCTGACATTACCCTTTGCAACTTTGAACCCTCTTGTTCTGTTGCCTTGGAATACCTATAAGTATTATTTACTTTCTCAATCATATTTAGAATCCAATAGACCTCTATAAGGTCCCTTCAGAAACATCCCTTTCCAAGCTCTAGCTTGTCTAATTGTTGCTGATAGCTCATTCTTCTCATACTGGGACCATCCTTGTTATCCCTATTTCAACTTAGATCCTTAAGCCAATTGAATCCACGTCTTGCCCTAATAACCAGTTTTTCAGTTGTGGAAGGAACTTTTATTTGGTACTTTGTCAAGTGCCCTTTGGCAGTCTACATATGCTATGCTGTATGGCTTTTCACAAATAATTTGGAATGTCACCCCCTCAAAGAAGTCTATGAGGTTCGTCAAACAATATCTACCCCTTCTGAACATGTGTTGGCTTTCATTTATGAGAATAATTTTATACAAATAATCTTCCATTTTCTCTGTAATATTTGACTCAATTATTTTTCCAATTATTGAGTCAGTCTATAATTGCCAGGTATGGTTCTGTCACCTTTTTGGAAAGTGAGTACATTTCCTTCTAGCCCATTGGAATCTCCTTTTTGGTGATTGACTCCATTATGATGTTTATCCTTCACAAATCTCCTACCTTGTCTCACTAAGAACCTGCTCATCTATTTGGGGGGATTTGTGATTTTTCAGCCCTTTGAATCTATCTAGAACTTCAGTCTCACTTATGTCAAAATCCTGGTGGTCAAATAATTTTCATTGGATGTTCGGGGCAGATTTTTAGTTTTGTTCCTGGTGTTNAAAAAAAGCAGTTTCTTACAAAATCCTGGCCAAAAGTACACCATGTAAAATTGGCAATTCACTTTATGCACGCTTGTGGGACATTGCTGTGTTCAAATTTCCTACAAGTTTTATCCTCAAATACACAATCATTGCACTAAATATCATAAAGTACCAAGAAGTGCTTTGAGATGTTTGGCAATGTGATGAGGTGCTATATCAAATGCAAAGATTATTTTATTGTCATTATTCTCCCTTTTTCACATTGACTCCAAAGGATTTCCAGCATAAATACAGCAAACAAAATCATGAAGAATTCCCTCTCTCTTCTCTGAGACTAACTTTTGTCTATTTGTATAGTGTAAGTGTACCCTCCTAGAGACTTGCCATGCTACTACTTCCAAACTGCCCATGTGATGTATGTGACAGATCTGTCTGCAGCTGGTGAGAGTAGATTAATAGCAGCCACAGGGAAGACAGGCTGTGGGATACACACAGGAAATTTGACACTGCTGGTCACCAGCACATAACCTTTTCCAACACTCAATGTTGAAGATTTCCTCCTCAGGGAGAGAGTATTTTTTTAAACAATTTCGAGAGTATTTTCTAGGGAGTAATCTAGACTTTCTTCCACTTACAGAGTATTGTCTTACACTGACCTGTATTTCTGTGCAAAATAATTCTAGTGCCAGGAATGCAAATCCTCTAAAGCAAAGTCCCAGGTGGTACAAATCTTACATTATATTTATGCCTTATATTTTGTATCCCATTCTCAGCTCAGCTGCCAAACCAGGGCTGTCGAGGGACTTGAGATGTCCTCCCAACTTGAAAGGTCCTACAAAAATGTAAATTTGTATTTGGTGCAATGTATCCACATCCAGGAACAGAGAGAATTGTGATTCTCACCCTGATCCATGGAAACAAGCCAGAAAGATGCACCCATTGACTCCACAGTTTATATGATTTCAGCATGACTTGTCACAATTTGATGGGTGTCCTTGACTCAAAATAAACTTGCGCTAAATAAATACTGAACAGAGTCCATTTTTTAGTATTTCTAGACAGGATTCCAATAATAAGAAATAAGAATCTTGCAAATGGGGCTCCTTTCAGCATCACACCAACCTGCAGCAACTCAATCTATTTCTGGAGTAGAATTCCTGTGGGTTGAACAGAATTCCATTTGAAGGAGTCCCATTGAAAAATACTACAACTTCAATCTCCTTTATCTCATGTCAAATTCAACTACTTACCTCACATGACAACATTCACATTTAATCCTTAAATCAATCCCAGAAATCTGTGGGCAGATATCTAGCAATGTTAGAAAATACAATTTTATTAAAATCCAACACATTTTACAATATCATTTGCATTTATTTGGCACCTGTACTTCAGGAAGAATTCAAAGCATTTAAATAGCAATTCTATCACTGTCAGGTTCAACATCAAGTACCATTTGTTCCTATCTTCTGTTGGGTTTTGGACAGACACAAAGCTAAATTTATATGCAAGTCTGGATGCACAGCTCTGCATTGTTTGACCACTAAATTGTTCAAAGCAATTGGGAAGAATGATATCTGTGCACTTTCATGAGTCCAGTAGCCACTTGACTCTTAATCAGAACACTTTGATGGAGCGAGATAAGTTTAAATAAGTGCATTAATCCAAGTCCCTTTCATGCTTCCTCACCTCTAACTCATCAATCTCCTGGGAAACACCTTTGCGTGGATACTCCCCAATTCCCAAAGATTTCAAGATCAATTCCCCCCACCCACCTTTGTGGTTCCCACATAGAAACTATTATGTACCATAGAAGTTTATTCACTTCAGTCCATGCCAATCCCTAAGACTCTCAATTCTGTTCTAAACTATGATTTAAACATTTATTTTTTAAAAGAGTTATTCAATACTGCATCAACTGATTTTGCTGAGAGTCTGCTTCCCATATCCACTAACCTGTGAGCAAAATTAATCATCCACTCTCCATTCTCACTTGAGAATTGCTCATTTAAAATCTACGCCCTTTGTTTCTGCACTCTGATTTAAGCCAAACAGTTATCCTTCCTTCACCTATGTCATCTATGTCTTTTGGCATTTTAAAGACCTGAATCATTCCCTTTCAATCTTCTTTTCTCCAATGAAAACAAGTTTAGCTCTGAACAACTCGCCTTATAAATCAAAGTCCTGGAATCAATCCTGCTGGCCTTCTCTGAACCCTCGCCAACATATAAATGTGCATTTGAAGATTAACTACCCAAACTTGGACACAAATGTTACGGATGTGGCTATAGCAATGGTTAGGACAACTTCTTCTGAGTTGTGCTCAAAAGCTATCAAATTGTAACCTAGTATTTGATGAGCTCTGTTGGTAAACCTGTAACTGCTTATGTGAGAGACTGAGGAAAAACAGGTTCCCCTTTGAACTTGATTATTTTATTTTA